GACCTGATGTCTCCTGGGCTGAAGGGTTGAACTATCAGAGACCAGGAAGGCTTAAAGCCACTCCCCTATCGAGGCCACCTGCGTCCCTGTCGTCACCTAGGCAGTCTGGCTCGCAATCGGTCATACCTTCCAGCCCCTGTTCAGCTCATCTCAGGCCCACATCCCAAACCATCTGCAGTCAGATGCAAGGTTCAGACACGTGGACAGAAGGAATCGGCACTCTGCTAGAGTCAGGCAACCTGAGCTGGCATTGCATCTACCATCTGACCTCTGCCAGAAGCACTGGACAACTACAAGATGGTCTCCATCTGCTACACAGATGTTCACCAAGACCTTGAAGATGAAACTGGGCTGAGCTCATCGAGGTGAGCACAGGAAAGTGGGGGTGCTGCTGAAGACCCCATAGGCACAAGGAGGAAATGCTGGCCCTGAGAAAAAGCTGATCTTCCCACAAAGGCTCCTGCCTCCTCCTGGCCTCATGCTGAGGTCAGGTACCTCTGCATGCTCAAGAGGATGCTCATGAGTTCCCCCCTGCTCCTTCTTTTTCCCATTCTACTGAGTTGGACAGGGCCCCTCTCCTAATGTGGTCCATGCTTTGATTTCATACTACGGGTCCTCATCTGTGAGAGACTCAATGTCTGTCTTTCTAGATAATGCTGCATCTGGGTTTCAGAACAGCCCTTCAAGACAAGCCATGTATCTCAATGGGGAAGTTGTTTAAACAGTCCAACTGGGGTTTAGTCAGGGCCCATCAGGATGATGCTGGCATAGACAGGGGAGGAGGAAGAGGAAATGAAGGGAGAGAAGAAAGAAGCGGCTGGCCTGTTTAGATATTCAGAAGACCCCCAAAGCTCTTCTCCAGAAGTGAGTTCGAGGAGAGGCAGACAAGTCAATGACACAGGCTGGGACATTCTAACACCTGTGTATGAACAGGTATGAGGCTGTGGAACATTCGTTGCAATTCCAGGGTAGACAAGGAGACAGAGTTTTCTCTGCTGCCAGGTGCTTCCTGGATGAGTTTATGCGGCCTGCTTCCATGAGCCCCCCTCTTTCCCAGAGCCCCCCTCTTTCCCAGAGCCCTCCTCCACAGGATGGAGGTGATAGAAAACTGTGAACTGGTTGTGTGAATCCAGTGATGTGCTTCCCCGCAGCTCAGGACAGTGTGTGAGGCAGAAGCGGCAAGCAGTTGATGCCACCAAGGCTGTTGAGGTGCCACCAAGGCTGTTGAGGTGCCACCAAGGCTGTTGAGGTGCCACCAAGGCTGTTGAGGTGCCACCAAGGCTGTTGAGATGCCACCAAGGCTGTTGAGGTGCCACCAAGGCTGTTGAGGTGCCACCGGTTCCGAGAGCCGAGTGTGGAGCTGGAAAACCGTGCATGCAGACACAATTTACATTGCAGAAACTTAACCTGGGGACGTATCAGAGAGCCTGGGGACAGGGCTCAGCGGATAGGAGGGTTTTCTGTGCATGAATCAAGTCCCCAGCACCCATCCATGTACCCCTTTGTGGGTGGTGGAGACAGAAGGTTCCCTGGGCCTTGCTGGCTGCCAGCTTAGCTCCAGATTCAACAGGACACCTTGTCTCAGGGTGTAAGGTAAAGAGTGATGGAGAAGGACACTGTCCTTCTCTGCCTTTTATAGGCACACATACATTTCACACACACACACACATATACAGACACACACACACACACATATACAGACACACACACACACATATACACACACACACACACACATATATAGACACACACACACACACACATATACAGACACACACACACACATATACAGACACACACACACACATATACAGACACACACACACATATACAGACACACACACACATATACAGACACACACACACATATACAGACACACACACACAAACACACACACATATACAGACACACACACATATACAGACACACA